TATCGGACCAGAACCTTTCTGTGGCATCCCTCAAAGCCTAACCCAGCTCACCTTGAAAACTTACTGCCACTACGCAGCTATTCAACTATGGAGAAACACTCCCGGTATGAAACACTCTAAGACCCTGATTAAAACCTTCAACAAAAAGGCGGCATCAGAGGCCTTAAACTTAACCAAAACTCACCTTCGCACACTAGTACGAGCACTCACAGGGCATTGTGGACTGAACAGACACATGCACAATATGGGGATCAGCGACAGTAGAATGTGCAGAGGATGCAAGGAGGAAGAAGAAACACCTTTGCACATTTTGACCGATTGCCCGTTACTAATGCGAAAACGATGTATCTATCTGGGAAAGCACGTGATGCACCCAGACGATATTAAAGAACTTACGGCCAAGAAAATACTACAGTTCCTTGTAGAATGTAATCTTGACCGTGAACTGTAGTATGTGGAGATCACAATAGATCAGCAATGGTCGCAGTGATACTGGGCTGCATAAACCCAAGATAATCCGCAACTCGAAACAATACAATACAATATCCTTACCAAGAACTAGTAGGCGCTTTAATGTATTTATGTGTTTGTACAAGACCAGATATTGCCTTTACATGCAGTAAATTAGGACAATTTAATAACAGCTATAATATAACACATTGGCAAGCAGCAAAAAGGGTATTGAGATATTTAGCTGGAACTGCATTTCATGGACTATTATTTAAAAGAAATGACAATAGTATTAAAATTTATGCTGACGCTGATTGGGCTAATGATGGTGCAGATCGAAAATCTTATACCGGTTTTTGCACTTTTTATGGTGATTGTCTAATTAATTGGGAATCTCGAAAACAACACACTGTTGCTTATTCAAGTACTGAAGCCGAATATTATAGTTTAGGAGAATCTGTTAAAGAAAGTAAATATTTGAGAAATTTCTTTGTTGATGTTTTTGATTGTGACTTAGAGCCAATAATTATATATAATGATAATTTAAGTACTCATAAAATTGCTGAAAATGAACAAAATCATAGGAGAACAAAACATATTGACGTCCGACATCATTTCATCAAAGATGCAGTTAGTGAAAAACTAATAGAATTGAAATACAAACCTACAGATGAAATGACGGCGGATATCTTAACTAAACCTCTAGGTGTAATTAAGCACAGAAAATTTGTTTCAGACTTTAATATAGTTGATTGTAATTTTTAAGCCTGGAATATTTGAACAAGGGCAAGTGTTAATAAGTGTGTTCAAATACTGTGTTCCTGAACGCATTTTGATTATAATGTTGTTAAATACTGAACGCTACAAATGTGGCGGCCATTATTCTATTCTGTCAAAAATTTTCTTAACCTTTCTTAACAATAAAACAAATTATTATAATCAGTTTTTATTTACAAAGGCCCATAATCTCAACACTGTGCCTCGAAAAAGTTGTTAAACTCCGCCTCTACGTCAGAGAAATCATTAAATTGTTTACCCCGCAAATGCTGTTTCAGGACTCTAAACAAATGATAGTCTGATGGGGCGAGGTCTGGGGAATAAGGTGGGTGGGGTATCGTCTCCCAGCCCAAGTTCTCCAACTGCCGGCGAACCACAGATGCGACGTGAGGTCGAGCGTTATCGTGCAGTAAAACTACATTGACTCGTCTTCGTCGTTTTTTCTTGATAGCGGCAGATAATTTGGTAAGCTGGGTTGAATATTTGTCAGCGTTTATAGTTTCATTGTGTAATAGCTCATAAAACAGTATGCCTCGCGCATCCCAGAAACAGCAAAGCAGAATTTTTCGGCGGTTCTTTTGACTTGGCTTCGGTTGAGTTGGTGGCGTTTCTTCTCGAGGCAGCCAAAAAGCACGACGTGTATCGTTCTCGTAATAAATCCATGATTCATCTCCAGTAACCAGATCTGACAAAAACTCTTTACGTCGGGGTCGCAGCAAAAGTGACTGACAGATAGCGACACGGACTGCACGACTGGCGTCTGTAAGGATGTGCGGTACCCACCGAGCCAAAACTTTTCGATAACCAAGCTCATGCAGATGGTGTTCCACGGCGTGGTGACTGCATTTAAGTGCTTCCGCTAATTCACGAGTGGTAGCATCCGGATTCAACTGCAGTTCGCGGCGCAAATCGTCATCATTCTCTGAGGGTGGTCGCCCTGAGCATGACTGACTTTCAAGGCTCCTGTCTCCTGATTTAAAACGGTCAAACCATCGGGACACCGTCGCATGGCTTGTACTTCCAGTGCCTAATGCATTGTTGATATTGTCAGCTGCAGCCCGCGCACTGTGGCCTAACAAGTACTCGTATAAGTATAGTGTTCGAACTTGTCGCTCGTCCATTTTTCTTCAAACTGACTAAACAAATCGCGAGCGCGGCTTTATATACCCTACACCAGAAGTACCTAGAATGTTCTACAACATTCTAGAATATTATCGAAAAAATTGATTTTAAAAAGGAAATGTTATAGATTTTTCTAGTGTGTCTCATTACTTTTGTGCCAACCCAATATATATAATGAATGTACTGATTGTTATATTTTTCCTGAGCTCGTGAAATATAGTAATATTATTCCATTTCATTAATTGGGTAGCACATCTGACCCTATTAACTTTAGACCTATATCCGTGCTACCTACGTTTAGTAAGATTTTTGAAAAAAATCATGCTGTATCAAATATAAACATATTTTTACAAGAATAACCTTATAAATCGACAACAATTTGGTTTTACAAGGGGTCACTCAACAACCGAAGCCGGTGTCGAGTTAATACGGAATTTTTAATTCCTGGGAGGATTCACATGATGATTATGTTTTTCATGAAACATTGATTAGGAAACGTCATTATTATGGATTTAGAGATAACTTATTGGAGTTTATTGTCTCATACTTGACTAACAGAGTACAGAGGGTTGATATCAATGGCAAAAGATCCCTTGGTTCGAAAGTTAAGATGAGTGTTCCGCAGGGCTCAATACTCGGTCCTTTCTTGTTTTTAATTTACATAAATGACTTGCCTTATTTCGTAAGGGATGATCACGAAATAGTTTTGATTGCAGATGACACTTCATTTTTGTTTAAAATTAAAAGAGGGCTATCTCTAAATGACGATGTGAACAATTCTATCGCTAAAGTAGTACATTGGTTTAATGTAAATAATCTTCTTCTTAATGAAGGAAAAACAAAATGCCTAAAATTTGTACTACCTAATGTTAAAAAAGTAGATATAAATATTGATATAAAAGATAAGAACATGGGCCTTGTAGATACCACAGTATTTTTAGGAATAACATTAGATTCTTAACAACAGGTAGGCCACATATTGATAAATTGTCGAGTTGGCTTAGCTCTGCAGCATATGCCGTAATGAAGATACGTAGGTTAACTGACATAGATAATGCCAGATTAGTATACTTCAGTTACTTTCATAGTGTGATGTCATACGAAATCTTATTGTGGGGAAATGCCGATAACATACAAACGATTTTTGTGCTTCAGAAAAGAGCAATTAGATCAATTTATAATCTTAGGCTTAGGGACTCTTTAAGGGAGAAATTTAAGGAAATAGTCATAATGAATGTTGCTTCTTCGTCATAATGACGAGAACTTAATGTACGTTCGTAAAAATATCAGTTTGTTTTCTATAAAAAGAGATGTACACAATTTTAATACAAGAAATAAAAATAAATTAACGGTGTATGTCACTAGACTGCAAAAAGTTAATAACTCATTCAGGGGTCTTTGTGTGCGCTTTTACTACTTTAAAAAAGCTTATTATAAGGTACTATGATCCAGTAAGATGATCCAGCAACTATTTTTAAGAAGTCTATTTAAATAAAAATTATTTTGACTTTGACTTTGCACGAAGGGTTCCGTAGGCATTATCTATTTAAAAATCGAGTAAAATACAATGAGGAAGTATTAAAAAATATTAGTTTCCGAAATCGAAACGAAACTAGATGTCGCTACGGTACTTTCTTGATTTCTCCATGACATCATGACTCCACGACTCTTCCGGTTTTCTTTCATGTATAAAAGTAAATTAATTTTCAAAGTTGAATGTATAACTCATTTTCTATTTGTACTTTTCGTGTTTCTATTGATATCAAGATTTACAACATTGCAAATTTTAACATGTTAGTTAAAAGGAACGGAAATGACTATCTTTGGTTTCCTGCAAAAATTAACTTTTGGTAGAGTCGCCATCGAGTGCTTTCTTTTTTTCTTAAAATACTTTCTTATTGGTCGATTATTACTCGTAAACTTGTAGAGATAAACTGAAGTGTGAAGTTTTCCTTTTTACTTCGTTGTCTAAAGTGTTTCGTATACTGCAGTGACGTTTGAATTTTTGACAACAACCGTTTAATTTGTACAGGGGGGACACTTAACTCTTATGAAAATTTGCACTTTAAACGGTTTACTAAATAGAAAAACAGTCTTCCCACACCGCTAACATATTTGAAAGACCTGCAACGATACACTATTGGAAAGACGAAAAAAGTATCATTTCCACTTTATATGTAGGGGGTCTCCCCCACAAAATTTTCTTTAAAGAAATTTATTTTACCACTTTATTAGCATTACACTTTACAACTTTCTAGTATCAATAATTTTTAACCTAACCCCCGGCCTTGCGCATATGGTGAAACTATATACGGGTTCCTTGTTGACTACGGAAACCTAAACAACAGCTACATATTTTAAATAACAGCTGTAGAACAAACAAGTAACAAACTTGGCTCAGCAACTCAAAATAAACATTCTTTCGGTTATCTAAGTTAGCTCGCCGTGTAAATTATATCTGTTTGCAAAGCTGTCATATAAATCAAAAACTTCGATCATAGTATATCCGCTCAATTTCGCAGAGCTTTTATAGTCGGTGTAAGCAATTATAACGGTTGATAAGGCAAATTATCCGCGGTCCTTGCGCAATCTGAGGACGCGATGCAATGTAGAGGCTATCGACCTTCCCGCGGTTACTTGAAATAACTGTTAAGCTGTTGTAAATAACTCTGGTGTCAAGTAGTGCCGAGGGCGGAGTCTTTAAGCCGCAGTCGCACCTGCTCGCTGGACCCGTGAAGCCACCAGAGTTTAGCACAGTTATAACAATCATGTTTTTATTGTTGATTTTTTTTAATGCTGTTTGCACGCTAAATGTATTCACGATTGCCGCCACCGTATACGATCAGAGTCAGACAGGAGAGTTAAATGTCCAGGTGGAGTTGAAAGATCTACAAATTATAGCTTTAATGAAGAACGGCAAAGAAGAATACGTGGTGAGTGATATAGTATAAAGCATAACATTTTTTATGAAATCCGTTATTAATAAAAATGCAACAGTTAACGATTGCAACAGTTAGATTTTAAATTCCGTTGATTAATATGGCATCGATGTCGATGAATTAGTTGAATGTCTTTATAATAAAAATTTATATTGCAAAGTGATATAAGGATTAAAGGATTAGATAAAGGTACTGTGAGTGTTATAGTTGATAATCACTTAGATAGTTCATTGTTATTTCCTTATAATTTTACTTAATAAAATATGTTTGGGGATGCTTGAATTAATTTTTATCGGTTCAAATTGATAGAGAACTAGCGAATGTTTAGTGAGTTTTTAATTAACTCTGATAGGTTTATCCCGGTCTAATGGCGGGCTTGAGCCCCCGATGTCATTTCTTAACTTAGATAATGGTGGAATTTCACTTAACTTAGTATGTAAGTAGTCTAAATGTTGTGGTCTGAAAAAAATATTTCTATACCTATATGAGACATTGTAAAATATAGACACCTTAAAGCGAATTTATACTAATAATAATGAAGAAAGATTTGACTTTTTTTGTTTGCAATGATTCTTTCACCTACGGGAAGCTACAACCGCGGGTGACGAGGCTATAATTTTCGTAAGCGAAGAAGTTACGGGAAAACTTTAGCATAAATAGTTCTAAAAATAAAACATGTTTTATTTTGAGTAATTTCTTACAATTTTCGAGTTAGAAGTACGGAAAAAAACTATGATAAACATTTTTGAAGTTATTTAAGAATATAGGCGAAAATTTATTCTTTCAATTGATTTCTGTAAATCTCTAGCCTAAAATTGTGTAAATAAAATATGAAAATAGTTAGTTTCCATATTTTATGTACGAGCCTGCGTGCTTGGAACTTTTTACTGGGAAAAACATTAGATTCGTTTGACCACGCACAGTCAAAGCTGCGGGTTAAAATTAGTAACATAAATTTTAAAATTTAAATAACAAGTATTTTTTACATTACAGGATTACGATTACGCCTACGATTACTCAGAAATGACGATCAAACCACAGAACGGTACTACACCAAAACCGTTTAATGTAAGCAGTAGCACTCATACAGATGTTTTAAAAGATAACATCACCACAATCGGAACAACGGCCTTTGCAGAAACGACGGTTGAACCTGTAAAAAATAGCACCGGACAAAGCTTAGGAACAGTCACCGTAACTGAACATTCGATAATTAATGAGTCTACTACACCAACAAAAATCGTAGTGGAAAATACGACTAAAACGGAGTTTTCCGAAATCACCGTGGCTCCGGTCCACTCATCTACGAATGGTACGATATGTAAAAAAGGTTTCATATTAAACCAAAAGGGGAGCTGCGAATTTAAACTTCAATCCGCCTCAAATGCGTAAGTACCTATGAATAACTTATTGAATTTAAAATCAACATCCTAGGCGTATCAATGTTCTCAGTTTCCTACTGATGAGACACGCTCTCTCTACGGATAGAATCACACAGGCAGATGGCCATAAATAACCCACCAAACGAGCTCAGATTGAGGTGTGTGACAATGACGTTTTCATTGGGTGTTAACAGCTTATTTAAGAAGCATAATCTTGATTGAGATAACAGTGTTTGGTCACTCATCAAATGGCTGGCATTTTAGCTGACCGACTAGGTGCACAACTATGGAGGCAATGCACACAGTTCTACGGTAATAGGTATAATTAAACTGGTTAGAAAATGTAGCAAGTTTGTTAGTTAGTAGGTAGGTATTGTGTTTATTTTTTTTATAGCCAATGAAGCATTTTAGCGGCAGTGTGACCTATAAAATCAAATATATTTAACAGTATGATAGATAAGTGATACATACTTCAATATTAAATACGATTTTTTTTACTTCAATTTAATAAGAAATAGTTTAAATAACAGGCATTAAAGTTGAGGAGTGGGGGGCTCGCTCATCGTCGTTATGTGACATTTAACTCCATGTATCGGCGTAATTTTACGATTACGCAAAAAAATATGTTTTTAATATTTTGCAACAATCTATACCTGATGTTCAAACAAAAAAAGTTTAGACATCATTCCTATACTATATACTATGATATACCTACATTAAAATGAACTGGAATCTGATGATCGATAGCGAAATCATGAATACTAAATAAATAATTTGCGTTACTTACCGTTTATTATTGCAGATATAAATTTAATACCTACCAAAATGACTCCCTATTGAACGACTTTTTTTTTTATAGAACAAACACATCTGTAATTTCAAAGCACCAAGTTGCTAAATTTAGTTTGTTTTGTTTAATAAATTCAAAACGATAAAACATACATTTGTAAAGGTCTTTCACATGCAAATGGAATTACAAAAAACCTAAAAGCAGAGTCACCCCTAAAATTCGCCACTATTTCCACTTCTTAAGGGTAATATTATAATTACAACCCTTGATCAAAGGGAAATTGGTAAATGAGTCACTTTGTAGCCTAGGGAATCATGCAGCATGCACTTATAAAATAATTAGAATAGGTTGCGTATCATTAATGAAATAGTTTTGCCGCGCAATTCACCATCAAATATCATCTATCAGACAGGGAAAAATTATTTGCTTTGCGACACACTTTTATTATATAATAAGTTGAAACCGCTTTTCTATGTTCATCTTTTTACGCGGCATCAATCGTAATGTGCGTAGCTTTGCTATTCTGTTAAAAAATAATGTTGTTACAGGATATATTAGACCTGCTTATATCAAACAGCGATGAAGTTTTGTAGATTCTATTATACGTAATTACGTATAATAAAAAGTCAGGAATATTTTCAAATTAATATGTAACAGTGTGAATCGAGCCTTAGTAAAGTATACATTTTGTGCAAGAATTTAAAATAGTGAAGTAAAGCTGACTCTCGAAAAATCCGCCAGTTCTATAAATTTCTATAAATATCAATTGAGTAGATATGTAAAAGTATAATTTAAGATTTTAGTGATGGGGTTTAAAATGGTAAAGTAATACTGTTGAATCAAAAATCCGTCAAGTGTATAAATTAAATATATTATTATTTTTGATCAATTTTTCATACTGAAAAATATTCTTGATGAAAAATGTTTGAAAAATCCACTTTGTTCCTGGCACTCTGAAATGGGACTCAAACCCATGACCTTTTGCAATCTGGGCGACTGCTCTAATCAATGAGCTACCCAGGACCTAAAAAGACTGACGAATTTTTGAAAGACTTTTACTTTTTCATTTCTACATAGCATATTTTCATTAATGTTCAGGCAATCATTCTAGTCCCATTTGAGATTCCCTCTGATAATGTGGATTTTTCAAGCATTATTTATTAAGAATATTAAAGATATTTCTTTCTTATTTTCAGATTGCTTAAAATAATCAAATTATCTCAAAAACTAAAGAGAAGAGAAAATAGAAAGGACAAAGCTCAACAATGAAAATACTGTAACCGTAAGCCACTAGGAAGCTACTGATTGTCTCAGTCGTAATGCAATGGTTGATTGAAGGCAAAGACAATATATAAGACTGCAATAAATTATATTTCATTATAATTAAATGTGCTCATTTCAACCCTAACAAAATTAAATAATATGTTCATGTCACATATGTTAATTAATGCCAAATATAAAATCTGTAAGTAATAAAATGGCATGTTGAGACCATTGGTAAGTGAAAAGAAGTGTCTAGGTATGTCTTGTACAGTTTGAAGTTAATTAACATTCACTTTTACACCTGTGTAAATAAGTATATAGTAGGTGGATATATACAACTTATCATTTTACTTTTATTTAATTTTATACTTGAGATAATAATAATCACCAAAATTATTGATGAATAAATTTGATTATTTAAAAGTATTTAAATTCAATTTCAAATTCAGTTTACTCAAAAGTCTAAAAACACATTAATAATGACTGAATATTATAGGATTTAAAAATAATTACTGTCAAGAACAGACACAACTTTACATTGATAATTCATATAAGATCCCAAATAATATAACCATATTATATTTCTTTAATTTTTTTTCAGAGTTTATAATACACTGTATTTATAAACTCCATGATTAACATGTATAAGCTTGTTTCTACAGATAGTTCTGTACTTATTATAAAAAGTTATGAACAACATAAATTAAAAATGATGGCAGTAAACTTTAATAATATGTAAAAATTGGTATATCATGGTACCCTCCCAACCCAAACCCACAAATTACATATTTACAGAAAATGTGTAAGAATATTAAGTCGCTTCGTATATATTAGACAAGGGACGGGCAACAATTTCCTCAATTTTGTACTATGTATATAGGTAAGACAAATACTTCAGTGGGTAGTAGTAATACACACAATCTGCTTAATTCACAATACTTGTCATGACTATAACAAAAGAAAAAATACTATTGGTAAAATTAAAGTTTACAAAGACAAAACAAGAGAGGAACAAAAGCACCAATGGTTATAAATACTGGGATGAGCACAGAACTTTCATCCATTGAATAAGGATCTGGTTGTTTAGGCCCACTAGCTCTGCGTGTTTTAGTACTTTTTTCTTCAATCTCCTCTCTCTGTTCTTCTGCTTCATTTTCATGCCATACCAAAGGTGGGAGTTTAGGTACCTCATCTATAGTACCTCTCATAACATACAAAGCATTAATCTTCGGATTATCTCTATAGCCTTTGATAAATTCTACTTTGATTTTGCCTCCACGTATATCTGATTCTTCTTCATTATAGTATAATTTACCATTTTTAATGGAGTATGGAATATACTCATCGTGAGCAACCCCTCGGCCAACTTTGTCGAAAATGTCTAAGTCGGCAACAATAGTGTGGTCTCCGTTAAGGACCACATCAAACACTTTCATATTTGGAGCACTAAAGTAAACTTCACTAAATTTCAATACCAACACATAATCACCATCTTTATTGGCAGGTATATCGTAGCCGAAAGTGCTGTGATGGTATCTCTCTGTTTGGTATAATATTTCGTCTTTTGGATTAACTCGTCCAATCATAACCAATTGTTTCCCGTAGTCAGAAGCGGTGCCAACTCTACCTTGTAAAGGATCTTTTTCATAATGAACACCGTATATATCAGTATGTGCAGGACCACCAGCGTTAATTGCATAAATGATTTCACCTAATCCAGTTGCACTTCTTAGCCAGAAACACAATATTGATGTAAAAATTAGAATTGACATGTTGGAACACAACACAAATAATTAACTTAAAGTTTTTCACTTGGGAAAAATATTTCGATTTATTTTGTATGTATTATCAATACATTTCCGTTGAAAAACAACGCCTTGTTTTCAGAAAAGAATATTTCTTAAAAAATAGCCAATCAACCGGTATGATGTCCCGCCGCAATATCCGCAAGGCGCAAGTACGCAAGAGATGTGTATGAACTATTCTAATCGATATTAAATAAATGTCGATTAAAAAGTTTTGTAAACGATCAAATGAGTACTACGGTAAGCTTAGCACATACAATACATACAAGTCGCTGTAGTAGTCACGATGCGCTAAATCTATAATATTATATGTAATTTTAATAAATAATGTGTGAAAACATAAAATAATAATCTTATTACCCCACTTTTCATAAATTTATACGATAACGGTATAGCATTCAACTGCTGAGAACAGTAAGATTTATAAATTATGTTCAGAGATGTAAATTTTTATAGGTGATTAAAAAGGTGATTTAAAATCATCATCATCATATATGCTGGAAAACGTCCACTGTTTTCACCAGTCTTTATAATAAATGAATCATTTCACTAATGTATTATTTATGTATTTGACGACTTGCGTAGAAAATGAGCTTTTCTAAAATGTGGATTTTGTTGTTTCAAATTTTAATAATACAAATTCTTTAACTACTTATCTTGGGAATTAAAGCAATAGGATGTTGTAAAATATTTATTATATTTATTCATAATTGAATAAATTAAATAAATATTTTCGGTTTACTGCTTGTATTAGTGCTGCTTATAAGCGGCAGATAGTTGTAGTTGTATCGAATTTCGGGTGATATTGAGTCATATTTGGAATCGGCATTTTTTTTTATTTTCATTCATATTAGCACTGTTGTGTAATCAATTAACTTTCATCTATTTCCGACACTATTTGTAATCCAACCATCCTACTTCACAGTAGAAAAAATCATTTTATGTTTTTTGCTCCTCCTTAGATTGGGCCCTGAGATGCTGTAAAAATCCAAACCCGAATTCGAATTCACTCATGTGTCCGAATTCACGTCATTTTATGTAAAAAAATCTATTGATTCCGTTTTTTGCATATAAATCCAAAACTAAATTGTTTGAATATACACGTCTTAGTTATTTTATTCCTATGTCATTACGAAACTCACTTTACCTTTGCCACGAAAAGTTATTACCAATTCAAGGTTGAGTAGATGCTGCTTTTTGAAGTGAATTCGGACACCCGAGTGTGCTCGAGTATATGGAATCTCTTTATAATCGATTCATGGTTCACATCTCTGTCTATTTGTACCATAGAGAAGATTGAATAAAGGGTAGTTGTACTACGAAGCGTAACGAATAGTACCTATAGTATAAGAGAAACAAATAGGTTTGGTAATGCTGTTATGAAATCGTCTCGTTGTTTTGGTGATTTGACCGAATTTAATACTTTTCGCTATGTTGTATATTCAATGTCGTATATTCAATTGATACATTTAAAATCATCATAATTGTCGATTTCAATAGTTTCGCAAGACTATTAAGGTCAAAGTGATTTATTTATTTAAATTATAACAAAATTTTGCAGGTCCAAATTGTTAATATAAGTATGTCTTAATTTGTCATGCAGTGCAGAGCAGTGCAGTAAGACACTCTGAGATGGGACTCGAACCTATGATCTTTCGCAAACCGGGTGCAAATTGATTAAATATAACTAAATAATCATGTTTGACTCGTCTCATATTTATGTCTATTTAAAAAAAATCTAAAATAATAGTTGGCTGTATGCCTATAAATCCCTTTGCTTGTTAATAAACTCAGTGTTTAAAAAGTTCATGCTTTATCATCTGGCAATCTCATACAATAGACGCGCCAAAAAGCAAATTTCAAATACATTTAATTTGTTGTGATGGACTGTGTGGAGAATTTTAAAAAGAGAAGGACTTCATCTCTACCATTTTCGGAGAGTGTTAACCTAATTATGCTACGCGGTCAATTTTTGCCTCTTGAATTAGTAGGAGAATGCGAAATGCGGAACGAGAATATTATGGACAGACGAGGTAATGTTCACTCGGTCCGTGTCGAAGTAGTAGAAACTTGAGAAACATTTTATTTTGAACAGTTGTCATGTGTCAATGTGTATCTAATAAAGAAGTAGTACAATTAAATTATGCGCCTCGGTATATTTCGTGCTTACGAATTTAACCGATCAAGAAACCAATGTGTGATCGTCGTTTTAGCCGCCAAAACTTATCAGTACCTTGACTGTGATGGAAGTGACAGCACGCAATATTTCAGTATTAAGAATTGTATGAAGCTGTAATACGCCAAATTACCTTATTTGAATACTACTAGGTACTTAATTTATTCCTACATAATTTTCAAGGTATTGTGGAATGGATGGAATGGATACCAATTTAAAAGAAGGAAAACCTATACAACGTGTACCTGTACTTTTTAACAGAAGCTAATGTTTTTAAAAAGTCTGTAAATGGATATTTTAATAAAGTTCAAGACCATGTGGTCAAAGCCACTGGCATATTCAGACGATTTCTGCAAAATTATTAAGGGACAATGAAAATAATGGTAGGTCTGCATTTAACACACCTAAGAAAGGAAGGCCAAAGAAGAATTTCAGGTTAAAACTGGACAGTTTTGATTACAATGTGATTAGAAACATGGTTTACGACTTTCATTTAAGATTTAAGGAAGTTTCTACTGTAAAGTCTTTAAAAATTAAACTAATGGACGCTATTGGTTTCCGAGGATGTGCAGATACATTAAAAAAAAATCTTTAAGATATGGGGTTTAGATTTATGAAGACAAAATAACAGAAGTCTCATTGCAGAAAAATCTGCTGTATGCCTAAAAAGAATTGAATATATTAAGAAAATACAGTCTTTAAGAGTTGCCAGAAAAAATATTGTATACATGGATAAATCATATGTTCATACTTTTCACACAAAAGGCAAGTCTTGGCTTGATAAAAATAAAAAAGGGGTTAAACAACTGATTTCCAAAGGTGAACGCATTATTATCATACGTGCAGGTAATGAGAAAGGTTTTGTACCTGGTGCATTACTACTAGGTAAATGTTTGGATTCTGATGGAGATTATTATCAAGCAATAAATGCAGACTCATATCAAACTTGGCTCCGCAATCAACTGATTCCCAATTTACTTCCAAACAGTGTGTTAATAATCGACAATGCACCATACCATAACCAGTTATTGGTTAAGTCGCCTAATTCTAATACACGGCAACCTGATATGATAGCTTGGTTGGAGCGGAACCATATTCCTTTTGACCTTACATTAACAAAGCCTGAGTTGCACCTATAAAATTATATTGACTCATAAAGAAAGTTTGGTTGTATTTAGCATTGACAAAATTTTACAAGAGCATGGACATTCAGTTTTATGATTACCACCATATCATCCTGATTTTAACCCCATCGAGAATATTTGGTCCCAAATAAAGGGGCACGTAGCAAAAAAAAAAAAATGTTGCCATGAATGTGACCTCGGTAAAAAAACTTATATTAGAAAAAGTTAACATCATAGGACCAGACAAATGGAAGAAAGTGTGTGATTATACTATCAAGTGTGAGGATGAGTACCGAAAATTTGAGCCAGTGTTTGATAACCATTCGGATAGATTCATTTTAAACATTGGTTCCAGCAGCGACAGTAATGATTCTGAGTCTGAAATGTCGGGTATAGAAGTCATATCAAATTGTGATTAATTGATAAATTTATATTAATTGATGAATTTTGTTTTATTAAAAATACTGTTCTACTTACTGGTGTCAGAAACTTATTTAGTTAGTACAGCCGATTTATTTTAATTCGATTTTCTTTAATCTGGGGTTTTCATTTTGGTATCAGCTGACAGCAAGAAACACAGTAAACTTTTATTTTTAAATTGGCTGACCTAATCTAAATTTAAGCGAAATTATAATTATGTAATAACAACTCTATATAGATATCTTTCAAATACATTAGGATTGCCGAAGCTTGACGAATATAGACGAAGCGCATAATTTAAATAGTATATAAAAGTCATTGGGCGAAATCTGACCCGGTTAACTAAAGTTATCCTACAAAAATCAAATTAGTTTTAAATTGTTAAGTATTAACCCACATTTCATTACAAATAGTTACTTTTTCTTTAAACCATGGGAATAAAGTGTAAAAAATATATTAATGCGTAAATAAAACAATTTTAGTGAAGTGTGTAAAATAAACAAATGTTTTATTTACGTTGGGCACCTATCATTTAATCGCAAGATCATATGTTCACGAACACTTGCGACCAAATGGTAAATACATTGTTGAACTCTACCGGCAACGTGAATTGGTTAACAACAATATATTGATACGAGGAAGAATGCAGTCGCGACATATCAGGAGCAAACAATACTATATATTGGTGAACCCGACAAGACAGGGTAGAGAGAGTATCGACTGTTACTACTGCTCTTATATTCATGGCAATCGTACCATTGGATGCTGCGCGCGTATATGTAGCCAGCATAGTATATTTTTTGTCTTGGGCCAGGCATCAAGAGCAAATAGATGTGCCTGCCGAGTTTTTAGATGACACAATTATTCTTGCAGCCCTTGAACATGTCGAATGAAACTTAAAAGATTTTCTTTACCTACTTGTTTTATTTTTAATAACTTTATTTATTAAATCATTGGCACTGACTAGAAACCGATAAAAATGTCCAAAACCTCACTATAATTAACACGTACGTGCACGCACATTCAAAACTTAACACGTGGTGGTACATATCACTCCATTTTTTGAGGACGTTTATACTTAATATTATATATTTTTTTTTAGCTTTTGACTTGAATCCCATTAACTATATTAATGTGACATATATATATTCGTGAGCTAGAGACGTTTATCTAAACAACCTACCTAATTTTTTTTCTGTAGGCCGTGGGTATAGATTTTAAACTATGCTGCCCAATGACCTTTATGTGTTTTCTTAAGTTCACGCAAAATATAATTAATAAAGATCCTGGTGATAGGACTACTAATCCTCACCACTCCACTGCTAATAATTCAAAGTTATCGATTGGCTTGTTAGAAGGTAAATCTAATTGGGAGACATGGAAATATAAAGTCGTCTGTCT